TCGCTGCGATGTGCGCCAGTGCCATCGCTGCCACCTCCTACACCTTCTCCTTGCCAAAGGCAGAGCTGGAGAGCAGCAAAACCTGCTTGTCCCAAATCCCTGGGCTGAGCAGGCTCCCGAGGAAGCATATCCTTCTTCCTCCTCCTCCTGCCGGGCTGCACGCGGTGGCCGTGGCGTGCTGCTCCCAGGCACAGCCACGTTTCAGGTATAATGTCCGTGCCTGGCCCTGCCAGCGGGGAAGGGCTCTGGCAGGAAGGCTGGGGCAGGCAGAGCCCCTGCCCTGCAGGCAGCACGTACGGCAGCTCCTACGTGCGGGGAAAACGCTGCTCTGGGCTGCCATACGTGCAGCGGTAGCCTGGCGAGGAAATACTGCCTGCCGTTAAACGCTGTCTGAAAAATGCATTTCCCTGATAAACCATAGCACCGTGGAGTAGAAACCACGGGTGCGGTGTGAATGCAGTGACCGGCTGGGCCTGGCCCTGGGTTCAGGCAGGAGGGGATGGGGTGGGCGAGTAGGGGAAGCGCCCTCGTCTGCTCCAGCATCCACGCTCTGAGCCTGCCAGGGCTGGCTCTCGCCATCTGCCCCAGGACCAGGCTGTATTTTCCCTGCAGGTTATCTTGTCGTTTTGTCCCTGGGTGTCCTCAGAGCCACCCCAGTGTGCCTTTCCCATGGCCATGCCTGGGTCTGGGCAGCGTCTGGCAGCCCTGGTCCGCTGCCGCCACGAGTCTGTGTCTTTATCCTGTGCTTTGGGGAAGCCCTTGCTTCCTTGGGTCCCCCCACGTGCCGGAAGAGGGGCAAGATTTTAAAATAAGATCCTTTTGTTTCCCAGGGCGGCAACAATGGAAAGGTCCCATCGGTCCCACAGTTACCCTGTGTTTGTGATGGAAAATTCCCCGTCGTGGCGGGGAGAGCCCCCCCCGGCGTCCCGCCGTTAGATGGCAGCATGGACGGGCTGGTCCAGGCCACCACCGCCTGCATGGTGCCACATTTGGACTGCAATGGGTGGAGGATGCCAAAAGTCCTTGATTTTTGGAGTGCCAGAGGATCCCCCCCGCCCCAGGTCAGAGCCTCTGTGCTTCTTACACTCGGCCTCTCTGGGCAGCTCTTGGGTCATGCATTTTCTCCAACATCTCAGCGGTGTGATGCGATTCATCCCTCCGTCACTGTCCGCACCTCACCAGCTCGGTGCTCATCTCTCAGGCGCACGATGACCCCTGATGCTCACAGTGGTCCCCGGCGTGGGTACGCTGCCGTGGCGGGGAGCCCGTGGCTGCCCCATCTCTGATCACAGCTCCTGGCACTGGGGAGGGGTCTGATCCCGCAATCGCAGCTCTTCTCTTCAGTGCTGCCCCTCTGTGCAGTCCCCAGCTCTGCCCCATCACCCCATCACCATGGCAAGTTGTAAAAATCTCTCTCCAGAAACGTGCAGGGATTTGGGCACCCACCCGGGATGGAGGGACACCGCTGCTTTCTGCTCCTTCGGGATGGAGGAGGGAGGTGGTCCAAGATGAGCGCGCTGAAGAGCAATGCCTCCGGCACTCTCAGGGTTAAGAACTCACTAACTGGGCCGGGGGGAGTCGGGTAAAATAAATTCTGTGGCTTGGAGCCCCTCTGACGGCTCCGGGAGAGGGACAGGGTGATTTCTTCCATGGGTTTGGCAAGGAGAGCAGCTGAGCGCACAAGAAGTTTTGATGCCTTTTCGAAGCCATGAGCACATGGTTCTCATTCAGGCTCTTTCTTCGCTGTCTGCAAGTGTGCGTAATTAATAACCCCACCGGGCACAGCATGGGGCCGTGCTTATTTATCTGCTCAGCGCTCGCTGGGTGCGCAGGCAGCTGGCCGGGGCTGTGCCCGCCATGCCGCCATGCTCCCGAGGCTCTGCCATCACCTCCATCCGCAGCGTGTTCGCAGTCGGTTTGCACCGAGCTGGAGCCGCTGTTGCTGGCAGTGGCGGTGGTGTGGGGGCAGCGCCGCTGGCACGCATGGACTGGCACTGTCACCATCCCACTGCCAAAGTCCCGGTCGTGTGCATGGGTTTCGGTGTACGCCTGCCAGAGAGGGGTGCGTGTGCCACATGTAACGGTGCTGGGGGGTAACGTGGCTGCCTTTACGCTGCTGGCAGTGTGCGTGGATGGATGGCGTGAGTGGGGGCCCCCAGTGCTCCCCCAAATGAGTAGGGGTGCAAGCGTGTGCAGAGAGGTGTTAGAAAGTGCGTGTGCATCTTTGTGTGCCCCTGGGGGAGCGGGGGCTTGGGGGCGAGCGCAGGACTGCGTGCCTGGGTGTGTGCACACGGGTGGGAGGTACGGGCTTTGCGGGGCATGCATGCAGGCATGAGGGTGTGCATGCAGGCAGGTGTGAGCTGCGTGTGTTCACACGAGGCGTGCGCGCACCGGCGTGAGAGGGTGTTTGTGTGCATTCCCTCTGGCCCGAGAGGTCGGGGTGCGCACCCGGCTGCACGCAAGAGAGGAGACGTGCGGGCATTTGCACACAGGCGATGCGCGGTGCACACGGATGCAGATGGGGCGCACAGGGGTGCACGCAGGCGTGCAGGGCGTGCGTTCGCACGCATATGCACACAGGTGTGGGGGTGCCGATGCGTCCGGGGGG